GCCATCTCTCCAGCCGAGAAAAAAAATTCTTAATAATTTATCTATATATATTAAAAATTGCACTAAGTGTACTTCTAAATATTCTGTTTCTTATATCTCATAGTAGATCTTGCTATCTACCATGGCTCCTTTATTTTTTTCATGCTGACAGAAACAGAGAAATATCCAAGTAATCCAGTCATTTCCCTAATATAAAAATTATCTGTACGAGAAAAAAAATTCTTAATAATTTATCTATATATATTAAAAATTGCACTAAGTGTACTTCTAAATATTCTGTTTCTTATATCTCATAGTAGATCTTGCTATCTACCATGGCTCCTTTATTTTTTTCATGCTGACAGAAACAGAGAAATATCCAAGTAATCCAGTCATTTCACTAATATAAAAATTATCTGTAATGCTGATATATAAACAGTTATGAAAAAAGCAGATATAAACTTAAAAATAAAGAGGCTGACCTTCAAAATGGTACTGTTATAATATTTGAATAGAAAGCAGGCATGTTTGATACTGTTATATTTTACTTAATATGTAGCATAGGAGAGTTCATTTTTCTTAGTGGTTTCAATGTGGGCTTTACTGTCAGGATAGCTGGGCTTCCTACGTACTAGTCAACAACCACCTGTGTGAACTTGAACACATTATGTTATCTTTCTGTACCTCAGCTTCCACATTCGTAAAACATGGACAATAACAGTACTTTGATGAAGTAATATATGTATGCAAAGCACCTAAAATAATGTTTGACATATAGTTATCATGGTTTAACAGGTTAATAATATCAGTGTTTAAATATTTCATTTATTATTTTTATTTTATGTGTATGGATGTGTTGCCTGCATGTGTGGAAGTGTACCCGTGTTGTGCAGTGGAATGCCCACAGAGGCCAGAAGAGGGCATTGGATCCCTTAGAACTGGAGTTAAGGATGGTTGTTAGCCAATGTGTGGGTGCTGGGAACCGAACCCCAGTTATCTGCAAGAGCAGCTCATGCTCTTAACCACTGAGCCATCTCTCTAGTCCAAATAATATCAATTTGACACGATCTAGAATTACCTGGCAAGGGAATCTGAAGGAGGAACTGGTTAGATTAAGTTGCCCTATGGCCATACCTATAAGCGATTTTCTTATTTGGGTTAACTGAGGTGGAAGACCTACCCTGCCTGTGTGTGCTGGGCTGTGGACCAAATACAAAGGAGAAAGTGAGGTGAGCACTGCACACACTCATTAGTTCACTGCTCTCTGCTCTCTGCTGTAAATGAAACGTGATTAGCTGCTGCCTCAGCCTCCTCACAGTGATGGACGGAAACCATGAATTCTTAAGACAAATAAACCCTCTCTCCTTAAAATTGCTTTTGTCAGGGTATTTTATCATACCAACAGGAATGAAACTAAGACATAAGTTAAAATTTTAAACCTGTGATTTCCTAATAATCGTCACCATTAAATTTCTATATGAGAATTCCAGGCAATTGAGTTAAATCATCAGATGTGAAGCAGATTTCCAGTTAGATAAATGAAGAGTCCACTGGTATGGCAAGTCTTGTTACCCAGTTTGTGCTGGAGATCTCCTGTAGCACCTTCTAAGACTAGACTCACCCGGGCTACCATGCCCACAGAGCATTTATGTGGATTCAGGGAATCTGAAGATGTGCGTTAGTTGCTATCATTTTGATTACTGTTTGCGTTCTTTGTCTAATTTTGTGTTTCCTCAATTATACCTTTATTTATTTTCTTTAGTTGCCCCTGGGGTATAGTTGTTTCTCTCACTTCTCTCTGCATTGCTTCAAGTATTCTTTGAAGGGCTGGTTTCGTGGACATGTATTCTTTCAGGCTATTCGTGTCATGGAAGATTTTTTTCCCCCTCAACTATAATAGACATTTTTTTCTGAGTAATGTATTCGGGGCTGGCATCTATTGTCATTTGGAACTGAAAATACCTTGGTCCAGGCTCTTCTGGCTTTCATGGTTTGCATTGATAAGTCAGGTGTAATTCTGATGGGCTTTCCTTTGTATGTGACTTGCTGCTTTTCTTTGGCAGCTTTCAGTATTCTCTTTTTGTTCTGTAAATTTAGTGTTTTTACTATGATATGTTGTGGGAGTTTCTTTTCTGGTCCTGTCTATTTGGTATTCTATGTGATTCTTGTATCTGTATCGGGAGGTCTTTCCTTAATTTTGGGAAATTCTCTTCTACAATCCTGTTTAAGATCTGGTCAACACCATTAACCTGAAGTTCTTCTCCTTCCTCTATTCCTATGATCCATAGATTTGGTCTTTTCATGTGTCCCACATCTCCTGCATATTCCATTACTGTGTTTTTAAATTTTTTTCATAATCTTTGCTTGAGTGGTCCAATTCTTTAACTTTATTCTCCAGTGTTGATATTCTGTTTTCCATTTCATTCATTCTAACAGTGAGGCTTTCCTGTCGTTTCAAGTTGGCTTATTGAGTTTTTCACTTCCTTCTTCATTTCAGCCTGAATTTTCTTCAAGCTTCTATCTCTTTTGTGAATTCATTTAGAAGTTTATCCCTATCTTCTTTTAGTTCTTTGATTTGTTTGTGTGTTCTTTAAATTTGTTGAATTCCTTGATCATGCTTATGATTATTCTTTTAAATTCTGTGTTCTGGGTTATCTCTAAGGAGTTCTCCTTGTAGAACTCTTCTATAGGACTGGTGGAGTTTGGTAGGGACATAGTGTTTTGGCTTTCCATTTTATTATTTTGGCATGTGAATTTCTGTTGTTCTTTGTATTCTGGTATGAAAATTAAGTTGAAGTTTGCTTCTGTTTGTATTATTGGTGTGCCTTGGTCATTTTCTTATTGGTTATGTAAAGCTGGTTAGTTCAGGCTTCAGGTTCTCTCAGGTTTTATTTTGGAGGGTCTGATGGCTTCAGATCAGCTACTCAGGGGCCCCCACAGAAGCCCAAGTCCTTCTAACATTTGGACCCCTACTAGCAGGTACTCAGAGCACAATTTGGGAAGCTCCCTAAGGGGTAGCCCGATTTTGGGACTCTCAGGGGGTCTGCTGAGTTCTCCCCTCCTATGCTACAGGGAGGCCAGAACTGGCACTCTCAGGGAATCTGAAATCTGGTCCTCCCACTTGTGTGACAGGCTCTTTAATCACTGAGCTGTCTTCCCAGTCCTAAGACTTGGAGCTTTTAAAGTTTTATTATATTAATCAATATGGGGACCTGTAAAGTTGAATGAATGCATTTTATGTTTTAAAATGGAGATGAGCTTATGGGGGCAATGGGTGGAAGGCAACGGGGACAATGGACTACACCTGTAATCCCAGAACTGGGAGGATGAGGAGTCCAAGATCATCCACAGCTATACAGCAAGGCTGAGGCCAACTTGGGCTACATGAAACCCTGACTCAACCAAACCAAACCAAACCAAAACAACAACAAACAACAACAACAACAACAGAAATCTGCCTTGTAGACTCCTGAATTGTAACTCTGTACCTGTCCTTTGTGGTAGGATCAGAGAACAGTGTTGGTTTAATATAGCTTTACTTAAAGTTTTTTGTTCTAAGCCCAGAAGGTATTCTGACTCTGAGACTAGAACAGGAACAGAAGATAGAATTAAGCACTTCTGTACTTAAACATTGTCTGACGAAGTTCAGTTTAACATCAGTGCACTAGAGTTGTGTGTGCAACACGGCTTCACAGTAAGTCTTTCCCCAGTACAAATGAACGTTGAATAAGCACCCCCAAGCTTCCACTCATAGGTAAACATGCAGAAATGCTCAGTATAGCTGTGGTCTTACCATGTGCCTTGGGCTGTCCACAAAGTGGAAGCTGTTTGAGAGCGTGCCACTGAGAGTCAGGCTGTAGGAACAACAAAGCATTGTTATACAAAACTACAGGCTTCAAAAACAGCATAATAGCACATTAGAAAGTAGTTACATTCTATGGACTTTGTTAAGAAAGCAACACAAAAGAAAGCCATTTCTTCTACCTGATGAATTTATATCCATGCTCAGGTGCCAAGGATCTCAGAAAGTAACCGACTGTGACTAGTAATAATCAGATATATAGAAATTAGAGATGCATGTGTAAACATCTAAGTGTTAGTCACATTAAAAGTGAGTTTTAGACCCTGTCTAAAAAAGACCCCCCAAAATTGAGTTTTTGTGTATGATTCAGTATATTTTAAAATGAAATGGAGAACTTTTTTAAAGGTTAAAGCCTCATTCAATTTTATGTCTTACAGGGTTTATACTGAGTACAATAATGTATAACCGTATTAATTCAACACTGTGAACCTAAAAATTACAGCCAATTTTGAAAGAGATGCATCTTTGCTTTGGAAATTGTTATTGACTATGTCAATGCTGTTGTAATGAAATGCTTCTATTAATTATGTGGTTATCAAATAAATTTTTTAAAAAGTCATTTCTGTACAAATGTCTTGGCAGTCTCCCTCCATCACTGCCCCTGGGCCTGACTAGAACTCCTGACTTGGGTTTGTGATGTTTGCTCTTTCCTTCCCCCACACCTTCCCTTCCCTTCTTCATCCATCCTTTCCTTTCTTTTCTCCTCCCTCTTTCTCTCTCTCTCTCTTTCTCTCTCTCCCTCCCTTTCCCCTTCCTCTTCCTCTCTCTCCCCATCTTTGTCTTGAACGAATGTGTTTGCATCTCCAAATAAATGGAAGCACTTTTTGAAAACTTTAATAAATCAAGCAAAGCCCTTTACTATCAACAAATGCTATTTTTAAAACTCCTTCCTCGAGGTAATGAGTCTAGGAAAGAAATATAAATTTAATATTTTCTAGTGGATCAAAGAAGAACTTGCAGCTATGGTGGGAACGTGCACTCCGAAGTCCAGGAGGCAAGGCAGAGCACAGCTTCCCTTGCGCTGCTTTGGGTAGAAGCCCTTCTCTAGGTTGCTCAGTGTTTAGACTGAATGGATGAGATGTTTCTCTTGAAATTTCCTCCTAGGTTTGCAGCAGTTAAGAATAGCTACATATTGATTATCAAGGAACGTGCTAAGCCAATTGCATTGAATAAATGATAAGCCATCGTCCTAAACTGCCAAGAGAACAGCGAGGCTGCTTGCTGCCTTTGTATCTAACCTTAGGATAGAGGTCAGTCAGCACTGTCTGCCCATGTGGGATCTTTTTGCTCAGACACTTAACCCTGCTTCCTTCCCTCTATCCCAAAATACAGGCCTTGGGCTCAATTATTTAGTTATCTCCTCAGTGTAGTTCAAGGAAACTTAGTCAATAGGGATGATATACAAGGCTGCTGGAAGACTAAAAGGAATATAAAAGCTCAATTATCAGGCAGTTCAGCTGAGTTACTGAGGACAGCTGCGACACCAAACCACCTCACTCCCTCCGGCCCCTAGACCTTGGGCTCTTTTTGACCCATGAAAGAGCTAGGTGAAGAAGTAAGATCAGCCCTGCTTCTTTATCTTCTCATTTATTTTTAGATATCTCAGACAGTAAATAGTATAAGTAATGTGAGCCCTGATTTTTATTCCAGGAGAGCTGCTGAAAGGAGGCAGAACACTGCGATTTTACCAACACCATTAGAGGTGATTTAATCAGGCTTAGGTGTAAAGAAAGATGAAATATTCTTTAACAATTCACCTCGAGCTTGTATTGCACTGCAATTTCATTCAGCAGAATATTGTTTTAAAATGTAGGCCATTACACATGGCATGGAACTTTGTCAAATATTGAGCTTTTTTGGTGAGAACTTCATGACAGGGAAAGTTTAATGAGATACAGGTCATGAATCCTTGGCTTCTTTCTATTAATGAAGATTTAAAATCAGCCACCTCGAAATAAACTTGAATCACTCTTGTACTCACTCTTTCACATGAACCCAGGCTCAGAAAGAGATGCTCATTAAGTCCTGGCCTCCTTCTGCCACTGGGCAGTCATTATTTTTTCGCACAGGAGAAGAATTTGAGTCACACTTGCATACAAAAATGTAAAGGTTTCAGGCAACCAGGAAAATTACATTTTCTTCTCCACTAGGAAAATCCTACTTCAAAATATCAGAGTTGGGGCACAATTAGAACAAAACCAAAAATTAGTTAAGAAAACCTAAGGGCAAGGTTATCTGAGTAAATCCAAAATAGAGAAAATGTATGATTGTTTTTCCCTGGGGAAAGGCTCTGGCCTGTGGAGGTAAAACAGAGTAGACCCAAACACTGAGATGGTAGGGGAGGGTGGGAGGAACATCGCTCCTGCGAGGAGAGTCGACCTCTTTCAATTGACTGTCTAAATCAATTCCACTCACAAATAATTGCTGGCCTGCTAAGATGCAGCCATGAAAAAAAAACTTAAGTGGGCCACTTTTTCTTGGATCTTTTAAGAACATCCTTTCAAACTATTTTGCACACACCTAGCAATACCCACATTCGATGTCAGTTTACAACTGAAGAAAACACCTCAGTTTTTTGGTTTGGCTATATTTACTTTGTTCATCTTTATATTTAAAACTGTCTTTTGGTGGGGGTCATAAATGAGAACTGAAAATGACTCATATAAAATAGGTTTGCTCAAGGAATTATAGCTCAATTTGATGTCTTTTAGTTAACTTATTCATATCTATGTGTCTTATGGGTTCAATGTCCCAAGGATAGTGTACATGAATCCCTGGAAGGTTGCAAATTGGAGGTTAGATAAAAGAGAAACTCTTTCTGTAGACAATGTCATGGGCTAAAGTTTCAGAGAGGCACATACTTTCTACCAACAGAGAATCTAAAACACTCTTTGGAATGGGAAGTCTTACCGAGTGCTGTGGTGAATGTGGCATAGGTCCGTGGCCTGTCTGTACCCAAGGATCCCGCAGGTGGAAAACCAGGCCACAGGTACAAGTTGGGAGACCCATCTACAGAGAGAAAGGCTATCAGCTCATTGGAATCAGATGAAATTGAGAAGTCACACCCACACTTGTTATGTATAACCAGTTTTGTTTAAATTTGAAGGCCTATCTAATCTAGCATAAAGTTTACTCAAAACAATAAATGTCAATACTCAGGAAATGAGAGAAAATAGTCTCCAGAAGTCTTACCCAAGATGACACTATCATTATTTCCAATGCAAAGAAACCAGGAACACTTGCAAAGTGTCTACAGATAACTTTGTTTCAGAGCTATCTGCATAGGAGGGTCCTCATTAAAGGCAAACAATCCGTTGAGGCACAAAGTATCTTTTAGAATTATAGACAGCAATGATGAAGCTAGATTCCAGGCAGGCAATTAGGAATGAAGAGAGATGATATTCATTTTTTAAAGCTGCCTGACTTCTAATGGGGCAGAACACTCCAGTGACAGAAGACATTCTGGTTTCTGAAGATAAAGACTTTGATACAGTTTTCCATGATAACTTGTGCAAGTAATTACAAGAAATAGGAAGAAAAAAAGCATTGCCAGGGTGCTTCGGGGTTTGTAAAGGAAGCTGCATTTGAGTTGATACATAGGAAGGCCCTTGATATTCTGAAAAAGCACGTGGTTTTCTTGAATGTTAGGGCTAAAAGGCCCCTGATTCCTATGCACTATCTATTCAGTGATAATTTTAGGATGATGAAAAATGTGAGTGCTTGTAGCCCAGCAGTGCTGGGAAAGGGCTTTCGTGGGGCCATGAGAAATGCTGTGCAAGGAAAGAAATGTGTAAATGAAAACACTATTTTAACCACAAGAAGTGCTAGGTGAGGATCAAGTTACCTGTTTTAGCTGTTTTCCTAGTTCTTCTTTCTCCAGCTGACAAGCTCTTATCTACAGAAAACCAAAGGAACAAGGCATTGTCTATCAGGAAGATTTCAATCATTAGTTCTGAAGTTGATCTCTACCCACCTATTATTGACCTACTCTGGCCTCTGCCCAAAGGATGGGGGCATTGCTAGCACAAAGGTCTGCAAAACAAGATCTATCCCTCCCCCACATTTTTGAGACATGTTAATTCTATCTTGATATTCCCAAATCAAGATTGGAAAGTCTGATAGTGTTAAGTTGTTGGTTCAGGCTGCATATAGACATAGACATAGAAACAGCTTCCATGGCTTACTAAATGAAATTGGATTTTTTCAGCCTGGCACTGAGCCTTCCTCCATAAGTTTTAGAAGTTGAGCATGTGCTTAACATAGAAGTGCTGTTCTATGTGCTTTCTATATGCTGAGTCTCTCACATGCCAACATCGAGCACTATCTCCCTCTTACAAATAAGGACAGTTAAGACACAAGATGAGTAAACTGTTCAGTCACACTCCTTTGCTTTGTGTCTTCTCCATATTTAAGGCCCACCTTTATCTATCACAGTCACCAGTCTGGGATCCTTCTATACCTGACACACCTAGAAGAGCTAGCTTTTGACTTGTTATCATATCATTGATATCCATATACTCTGTGCTCTATATTCTATAAGGCATGGTCAAATGTGTCTGCATCAGAAGTTTTCAAGACATCTTAGTCTAATGTGTGCTATATGTAGTCAGTTCTTGCTATTTCCAATGATTATGTTCTGTTATAAAGCCATCACAAGCACTGAATTAATGAATACTTAACCACTGCTCCCAGTGGAAACACAGGGTCAGGTTCCTCAGATTACAATATATGTGTCAACTGATCAATAGATAGCCTTGTTCTATGTGTATTCCTACTCATTTTACATGCACGTCTATTTGTTTTATGTGTATTTCTATTTAATGGCTCTTTAATATATACTGTTGATTTTTTAACTCTAAACTCATAGCTGAAAGCACTAAAATGTATGCCTGGATGCTTATATAATACCTATGTTTTTTCTATAAAGTCAAATCACAGCCTTTATGCACTAGGGACCCTCGAAAGCATTTCGGCACAATTTGGAAATCACTAACAAATAGCAGGGGTGCCAGGGATAAGGCTGGGTTATAGAACACTGCACCAGGCCCTGGTTTTGACCCCCAGCACCACAAAATAAGCAAAAATACAAACAGCACAGCACTACACAGACCTTAAAAGAGACACATAACCGCATGTGAGCTGAATAAGAAAGGCAGGGCAGCGTCAATGTGCTCAGCCTTGCTGTGAATGTACACGTCTGATCACTGGAGTTTCTTGTTGCTCTGCTCATGTTCCTGACCTTAGATAATAATTTATTCACCAAGAACAATTAGAACCTTTTCTCCCATTGTGATATGCTATTTACTAGACTGGATAAAGTATTTTCACAAAATTACCTAATTTTAAAATCAATACTTGGGACCATGAGCGCATCCCAAATATTGATTTTAAGGTGACAAATATATTTTAGCAAGTAGACAGATTCACAAATAGAGGATTTTCAAATGATGTGGAAAGACTGTACATCTTTCACTATATGGTAGGTTCTTTAATTGCAAGGAACAAGGTATTCTCTCCAATACAAAGCAGAACACCTTGTAGAAAAAAGCACCCCAAACAAATTACAGACGGCTGAAGGTGGCATGGCAATTACACAGGTATGTGAAATGCTTCCTGATGTCCCCTCATAGTAGACTGAAGTTTACTGGAATCATTTATGAAATATTTTTGAACCATGACATGAACTACATGTTCTTATAAAGGTTTTCATTTTTTTCCCTTTTTAAATTTTCTTACTTAACACTGAGAATACCAATGTGCAGTCGGGAGGAAGTGGCCCTTCCTTACCTACATTTTATTAGTGAGAATACTCAGGTCATTTATTTTTACAGAAAGAGGTTTTAGAGTTACAAAAAAGCATTTTGAGATCGTTTACTCTAACTTCTTCATTTTACAGATGAAGGAAGGGAAGCATGGGAAAGTCAAACAACTTGCTCAGTGTCACAACACTGAGTGTCAGAGGAGGCAGGCATAGAAGCCCTTGCTCCACACATTCCTCTCACCTCTAAGGACTCAGTTTCTTTAATGTCACTGCATTCCCTATTTAACTATCCTTACTGGCTTAAACATCATCCTTGGTGGAACTGATATACTCTGATCTGTTACTAATGCCACAAATATTCGACATACAAATACCTCAGGTCCACTTGAAAAAGGAATGGTATGCTACTCAACAAAGATAATGCCAGCTGTTTTCATCATGTCACAGCATTTAGTCTGCTGTTAATACATTAGCACAGATCATCAAATCATCTACTGTTGCTCTATATGAATTCTATCATTGTTTCATAAGACTTTGGAAAATAAAATAATTAGGCTGTCATAATTTTAAAGAAAATTTTTGATAGCTTTAAGATATTATTTAGATCTCTCTGAAGATATTTTCTTAGCTTATAAACACAATTATGTTATATGGTACTTAGATGACTGATTGTTTTTCTGACATCAATGGAAAATTACAGACGATACAGACATGGAAGTTACTTGTGGATTATAGTCCATAAAATTTCATAGATGGACATATGTTTTTGGATAGTCTTAGAGATCTGTAACAGCAAGTACATTGCTCATCCTCAACACCAACTTATCTCCGATTTTAATTTAATATAGTAGGAACGAATAAAATTAAAGTATGGTAGGAAATAAAATAATTTGTACTCTGACAAATCAAATTAAAAGATAATAATTTCTTCACCAAGAATAATTAGAACCTTTTCTCCCATTGTTATATGCTATTTATTAGATTGGATAAAGTATTTTCACAAAATTACCTAATTATATTTTGATTGAATATATATTTTGATCCTTATAATTCCTTTAAAATCCCTTTATTGGATAAAATAATTTCTAATTTTTAAGAAATGTTTCTGCTAAATAACTCTCATGTAAATTAGGAATTTCAAGTTAGTCTGAAAAACTATCAGGAAAATTAAATTTAATTCACAATCTACTTTGTATGAAGGAGGGAATGATTAACTTTTAGTTAAAGACTACAAATTTTGAAGAAAAGGAACTACCACAACATGTCTGACACCATTTTCCTCTTTATTGAAAGGCACAACATAGCTCTCAAATTAAAAATTGTTCTGGCTCATTTTAAGTCAAAATTATATTAGTTAATATTTAACGTGTGTGTGTGTGTGTGTGTGTGTGTGTGTGGGTGTGTGTGTGTGTGTGTGTGTGGGTGTGTGTGTGTGTGTGTGTGTGTGTGTGTAAGATATGGAGGTGGAAAAAGGACTAGGAAGATGGGAAAGGAGAGCTAGAAGGGGAAGGAGAGAGAAGTGATACAGTACTTGTGACGTGACACAGAAGGGAGTTATTTAGGAGGAGGAAGGGCACCAGAAAGGCAGGAGGAGGGGACATGGGAAGACAGCAGGGGTAGAGGTAATGAAGGAAGAATTATAACAGATACGTATGAAAAAGTCAAAATTAAACACTTTACATTGTATGTTAACTTCAAAAATTAATAAAAAGCGATGTTAGCTTTATTTTCCTTTATTAACATCCATCTTTACTCATCAAAGCAAACTCCTGAGTGTACTTTTAGTATATTCTATTGCATTTTAGTTTGCTTATGTTTAATATACTGTATTCTAATAAACTGACTTTCTTGAAGTGCACTAGTTCCATTAAATCTGGAAACCCACTGAGAAAAATCCTAGGTTTCAACAGTCATGTGGATGGCATTTAGAAATATGTATGCTTTGGGAAGGGAGGAACATTCCAGACAGCCCTTCAAAGAAAATAACAAGAATTTAGAAACCACTTCCCTTTATGAGTAGTAAGTAGGTAGCTCAACTCTCATTCTACCAAGATAAGCACTATGAGAAAAGATTACATGAGCTCTACTTCCTAAATAAACTTTGAAATCTTATTGCTTGCATAATTTCTTAATATACTTAAAGAAATTTCTGGGGTTTTACTAATTTACACACAAGATCATTTGAGAATGATTTCATCCCAGGTGACCACCCCTTATAAACATCCAAAGTCAATGAACAGAATTCAGGAGGGCAGGAATCTTTTTTAAAAAGTAAGATAACAGAGCACACATATACTAGGTGAAGGTTACTTTGTTTTGACTTATACCTGAGAATTCAGCCTGTCCAACAGGGACTGAGAAGTCTGATTAATTTTCTGTAGCTCTTCTTTCTCTTGATTAAGTCTTTCTCGATCTGATCGCTCCTTTTGAAAGTCTTCTTCATAAATTTGCAACTGAAAAACATTAAGTTGATGTTACTGTTAGTTTATGTTTCCTCCTAGGTGATTAAAATATTTCAGAAAAGGTACTATCCGGTCCTTTTCAAACTAAAGCATTTCTAACCTGTGCTCATGATTATTTCTTCATCGTAGGATGGAGGGCTCTATAAGGCTATGATTTTATCTTTGATGTTTAGCATATCAGTTCCCAAATTTTCATTCTTGTGCACACTTTAGGAGCTCAGAAATAAATCTAGATATTTAAAAAAAAGTTTTCCGCACCTATTATTATGAAGTTTTCCATGGTGAACGCCTACCTAATGCCAGGTGCCTCTGATTTGAGGAAGTCACCTGTTCCCAGTGTAGGACTTTAATGTCTGAACACTGCTTCAAGTTCTAAAACAGATGACTGACAACTCTTAAGTGAAGCCCCTGAGTGCTATATGCCTCAAGTACTTCATGTGGCTGTTGGTGGTGTGTGCATTATAGGTGCCCAGCTAGAAACCTGAGTGGTTAAAATGGAAATGGAAAATGGAAAGACTGCTCTTACAGAGGATCCAGTTTCGATTTCCAGCACCCACACAGTGGCTATGCACTGTCCTTATCTCCAGTTCCAGGGGAATCCAACGCCGTCTTCTGACTTCCATGGCATTGCATAACACACGTGCACTCACATACATGTGGGCAACACACACATACACATAAAATAAAAATAATAAATCAAATATATTTAAAAACAAACGTAAATGCAGAAAGTTAGCAACAGAGTCATCCCAGTGCTGAGGAGATGGGTTTTAGTTTACCCTTTGGTATTTATGAATCAAAGAATATCTGTCACTACTTGCATCAAACCTGAGCTAAAACACTTTGGAGCATCCACATGAATGAATGAGCCTCCCAAGTGCTGTGGTGCATTATGTGTGAGCACTAAAAACATCTCAAGGGTGTGGGCACATAAGTGGTCCCCAACCTGTGGAGGAATCTCAGCTACCACCAACTGTGTTTCAGAGCTAAGACTCTGGCAAAGCTTTAGCAACAGTAATATTATCCTCATTCTTTTAATTAATTTGCCTTTAAGCCATACACACAACCCTAAGGGCAATGAATAGAGTATTTATATGGAATTGCTGGGAGAGAAAACCCAGCTTTATCATTTGATCTTACAGATAGGCCACTATCCTGTGCAGTAGTAACAATAACAATGATGCAATTGTTCAAGTCTTCCATGCCCTTTAACAAGAATCATGGCTATTGACACTTAGAGAGAAAAAAGGAAAAAAAGAAAAATCACACCCAAGAACACTGAAAAAATAACACTGATTCCTACCCTTTGAATCTATGACACCCTCTCCACCTCATTAATGCATCACTGACAATGGGGGCTTCAGGGATGGGGGTTGCTATTGTGTCCTGAATGGTTATCGCCATGTCTTTTATCCACTTAACATTTACCCATGTTAGTCTAGGAAAACAAATGGGAAAGGCATGGTTGGCTCCTCAGCAAAGAAACTATCTGGTTAACTTAAATTTAGATGCAAGTAGTTTAGACAGTACTGTATCCACACAGCTGTGTTGACACATGCAAAGACCAGAGTGTGAACCTGGCCACTTGTGAGTTTGAGAGGAGAGTGGGAAGCAGGAGGAGGAGCTGCTGCCCATCCATAAACTGTGGTGGTCCATCCATATATGGGAGAACCTGAGCTGTCAGTGACTGTATCAATGTGAAGTATTGTCTTTAAAACCACACTTATGGCCAGGCGTTGTGGCGCATTCCTTTAATCTCAGCACTTGGCAGGCAGAGGCAGGCAGATCTCTGTGAGTTTAAGGCAAGCCTGGTCTCCATAGTGAGTTTCAGGCCAGCTGGGGCTACAAAGACCTTGAGTTAAAAAACAAAAAACAAAAACAAAACAAAACAAAAAAATCACACTTTTTAGGGACAGTAAGATGGCTCAGTAGGTAAAGACACCTTCCCTCAAGTCACACACCTGAGTTTGATTCTAGGGATCCACATGGTGGAAGGAAAGAACCAACTCCTCAGACTTACAAACACACACACGTAATAAATTAAAAACAACTATACTTGTCCAACCAGCCAGAGGCCAGCTACAATGGGATAGTCCCACTGCTACCGTTTTCTGAAAAGGTCTAGAGGTTAATTTAATAGTGCTTTCAAAATAAATCATATCTACATGAGACTCTAGACCCAGTGCTAACAAAATTCCCTCCAAAGGTGATGTAGCTCTATTAACTATGTGCCCTCTCTTATAAATGTGTTTATAAACAGTGGGGGCGACCTCTATTTTTTTGTATTGTTTTAAAATTGGATAATTCAAACTAAATATGAAACCCTTTAACACATTTTCAATGGTGAGCCATATCAGGCGTTTCCAAGGCAGCAGGAACAGCGGCCCAGTGTTCTTCACGTGATCACCCCTCTTGCAGCCTCTCACCTGCTGTTTGAGAACTTCCAGTTCCGTTCTCATCTCCGCAGCGTTGCACGCACCTTGGCACCTCCTCGAGTCCTCGGAAAATGAAGAGCTCTCGATTTTCAAGGCATCTTGAAGAGCCTATGTTAAAAATCAAGCACACTGCCGATCTGAGATTTTCAGCGATGGGGTGGGCAGAATCCTTTCCTTACTGCTACAATCACCCTCATGAGGTGGTACGCAAGACTGCACCACCAGGCGGCGTTTCTTTGTAATGTTGCCTGCATGGCGGCCTAGCTTTTTTCTATCTGGTTTTCTGCATATGTGTATCTTCAGAATCTCTGTCTTCCCCAAGATGTATATGTTATTCAACCCCCACTATTTTTGAGGGGGATCATTGATGTTGGCTCCCCTTCACCTAAGTAAACAGGACAGCTTTCTGACACTGTTTCCACCCAGGGTACAACCTACCAGCGGTGCTCTAACTTAGGGGAGCTTCAAGAGGAGCAGACATGACCTCTCTGCACAGGAGGCAGAGGTTGGGAATCAGGAGGTCTGAGGGTGGGCTCCAAGAATGCTGTTATGTAGCCAAGCCCTGCCTCTGAGAAGACAAAGGAAATCCACACAAAGTGGATTGCTGTGCCTCACTGCCTCTCGGCCCTGCCGAGTCTCTTGTCTGCTCTGTCCTTTTTCAGCACTACATGCTCTGGCCTAGCCACAATCTTAATTATGCTCCATCAAAAGGCCTGTTTACTCACCACTAGGGTGGTGATATGTACTATTGCAACTGGGGGTTTCACTGTGGGACGAGAAGGTAAAGAAACTACCAGAAGCTTTTATTATTTGCTAATAAGATTCTCATCCTTCCTCAGGTACTCACCGAGAAAATGACATTGCTTCTTATTTGAAGACCTATAGTTTATGATGAGCTAATAAAAATGATTTTGCAATATTGTAACAGAGGCATCTGATCTTTGAGTGATCACAGAACCACAGTATGACAATGTGTCCATCAATCAAGAGTCCTCTGTGCTAGCAGAAGGGGTTCATTTTCAGAGCCTTAAGAATTTACTTCTTCTGTAAATAATTTACTTCTAAAACTTTAGTGGCACTTGATGGACCGTATCAGTGGTAGTCCACTCCCTGAAACACTACACAAGATGGTCATAAAGGTAGGAAGGGAAAGCCAGTTTGTGCCCTGAGTAGATATCACCAGACTGGGAATTCCATAATGGATGTCTTAGATTCTACAGATACTGTCTAGAATTGATTAATTTATCTGTTCATTACGGCTCTTGGGTCAAACCCACGGCTTCATGCATGGCAAACCAAAGGGCTACTCAGCTACACCCCAAATCCTTTTCAGAATATGTACAAGCTAGGTAGTTCTAGAAAATAGCAGGAAAATTAAAAATAATTTTAAACTCTATGAATAACAGCAGAGAGAATGAGGGTGAGTGACATGAATATGGTCATCAGATAATACCAATGTCGGCCGATACCTATGAATGGACGATTTTTGTAGATCTTATATTAATTTCCTGGTTTATCTTTCATGCTACTCAGGAAATTTAAAGATGAGTCACAAGTGAAATTTAATTCAAATTGACATTTACTCCATCCCATCGTGAGGTTTTCAACTTCCTTAAACCTGTTCTTGAATAGCCATTTTTAACAACAGTACTCATATGCTAAATAATCTACCCATCTCAAAATAGTGAGATAACAAATCAGTTTTGCCCAGGTGGCACTTGCTGACTAGTCTCAATTCTCACTCTGGTTAAATATCTCTAGCATGTCTGTAAGAACTTGCTCTAGACAAAACACTTGGGTATTTTCTTCAAAGAAAATAAATTTAATTGAATGTACTTCCGAAAAGTGTATATTAAGCGCTTTTGTTACTGTTTGTTACTGTTATTATTTGTAATCATTACAAGTATCTTCTGAGTGAGTGGATTAGCAGGCACCTAATTTGTGCAAGTAGGATCATAGTACAGTTATCCAAAACATTTCCATATTCATCACAATATTAAAAAAGAAAAGGAAAATATTATTCATAAAATCCAATAGTAGTAATAATAATAATGCACAATTTATTCTGTGCTAAGACATGTTAAATGAAAAAGAAAAATCTCAGAAATTGTTTTATATCTAAACTTAAGTGGAAATTTCAGGGTGGGATGAAGTCTTAGGGGGTTTTAAGAATTCTTTTATGCTCTTTCACAAATCATAAATAATGTCTTATGTGTTATGCTAACATAACACTTATTAGGATCAGGTCCAAAATTGGTTATTGCACATACTATTGACTTGGTAATTACATCCATTAATTTATCCATTCATCCTTTCACTCAAGGATGTGACAAAGGCCCTGTTCTAGACACTCAAGAAGCTGAAGAACAAAACAGGACTCAGGTCACATCCTGTCTTGCTGTTATCAGTCCTTTCCTCCATAAAGATACAGATTAAAACTGTATTTTACAGCTGCATTGCTATACAAATAAATATATAAAATACATTTTGAACCTAACACTATTTTATTTTTTTCTTCCACTTTAAAGAGAAGACATGTTTATGAGCCTCGAACTGTACCATGGGTCACATACACTGTGCTAGCCGTGGTAATGGGGATTTCTACTGGGCACAAATCTACTTCAAGGAGCACAGAAGAGAAAGTAAATATGTGACATTACCATTAGGTAGTACTAATAAATGCCAAGGAAAAATCAAAGCAGGTTGTATGACTGCCATGTATATGTGTATGCTATTATATTTGGGATAGACAGAAAAATACTCTTTGAGAAGCTTATATTTGTGTAAAGACATGGATTTTAGTAGGATTAATTTCTCTTTTTGGGATTTTATAATTGTATCTGCCAAATTATAAAGTTACTAGTTTTGTGTGTGTGTGTGTGTGTGTGTGTGTGTGTGTGTGTGTGTGTCTGTGTGTGTCTGTGTGTCTGTGTTTATTTGAGACAGGATATCACTATGTATCCATGGCTGACCTAGAACTTTCTATATAGACCAAATTGGCCTTGAACTTACAGCAATCTTCTTGCCTCTGCCTCCCAAGTGCTGGGATTACAGGCGTGCACCACCACATCTGGCTATTTTTCTGAATTTAAGAAAGTTCTATTAACCACAATCATCAATGCTCCAAAATAGGTTGTATATGTAGACATGAACCAGAAAACAAAGCTCATGGCTGGTTACTATTTACAGTTTCTTCTTTCTTTGTGGCTACATATGGAGAAATACACTCAAGGAAACTTAGAAGGTGGTGTCAGATGTTGAAGTTTCAAATAGAATCTTAATTATCCTTGAATTGATTCTTGCGGAAGATTTTCTTTCCAGCAGAGAATGAAAGGAAATATATACATATTTACTCTGAAACTTTATGTCTGAATATTTCCTTTCTCTCATAAGGACAAAATAACACCATTTGTGAAGTCATTCTATCTTCCGGTTTCCTCTTGAAGAATGACTAGTGCTACAAACAGACTTACTGCGGCATCTCACGGTAAGCAGCCTGTCAACAGCACAAGCACACACCTTGGCTGGGATCTTTAAATAGCACTTCTGAGAACTTGCTGGCGTGTAGTCAGAAGCCAAGGACAGAGGACATTTTAAAGGTTCTCTTTTGTTGTGGGAGACGGCTTCTGATACTTTGGCTATGAAACATCTAATTGCCTAATGCGGATCTCAGTTCAACCACATGCTTCCGTGTGCCCATGTCTACCTGTGGCTTAACTCTTGGAAAAATCAATAATGGGTTTATGCTTTTTGCTGAACTAATGTTTTCTTCCCCTAGAAAAGTTTTCAGTCCATAGAACAACACACACACACATACACACACACACACACACACACACACACACACACACATACATTCATTATCATCATCATCCTTTTACAACAATTGAAGAGTCAAGCTAGAGTTTGCATGCTCCTGAAATCCCTGCTCCTTGCCACACCCGTTCCCACTAGTGGTGGACTGTCTTGCTCTCTCAGCGTTGAATTTGGCATTGAGCATGCTTCCATGTATTATGCATTGCACCTGGGTCCATAGCAATCATTTTAAAGAGCAGCCTGTTTCCTCAGGAAGCTTTTGTGGTTGACCAAGAGATATGTTATTGTTCACAAACACCCACTAATTTTATGTGGTTCTTAAAAAAAAAAAAATTCTTACTGACATCTGTAACTTCTTTCTATTTCTCCTTTGCATGGTGGTCCTTTGCCGGGGCATTCATTCCCTAAAACCTAGCTGAATATGCCTGCAAGCTGTTGCTAGGTGCTATGTGTAAGTCACAGAGAGCACCTCTAGGGGAGGCAAGGCTGGGTCATACTGCAGCCTGGTTCTCTTGTGACTCAGTAGGAATGTACTGCTTGCCCAAGGCTGTCATTTCCATCTCTCAGGCTTAACCTGTTCTGGTACCTTATTGAGACGTTTTATTTCACATTCGTAGTGTTCTTTCTTCTTATTTGTGAGAGCATTTCTTTCTTTCAGCAGCTTATTTTCTTTCTTTAATTCTTGTAGTTCTTCATTTAGGCTTTCCCTTTCCTTCTGAAGCAAAGAGCAAGAAAAATAGACTCAAATAAAAAGCTATCAAAAGAAACCATATTGTAGGAATTCTAGCAGGTTAGTGGTTGTTGACAAATCATCACCCTTCCAAAACATAACACAAACAGAACTGGCAAGGTTTCCTCTAACATGGGTAGAGGACAGGGTTACTGAACATGTTCATATCCTTTATCAAAATTCGGTGGTACTATTGTGAATTGTGCTGATCCTAGAAAAAAAAATATCAAAAATCCTAATCCTTACATTCAATGGTCAAGTAAATGGGTCTGCAGAATAATCTAGGTTCTGTTAAAGTGACTGAGTCAAAACATTGAAAGTCTAAAAAAGAAAAAAAGGGGAGGGGGGCTAGAGAGATGGCTCAGCAGTTAAGAGTACTGGCTGTTCTTACAGAGGACCCAGGTTTGATTCCCAGCACCCACATGGCTGATAACAACCATCTATATCTCCAATTCCAGGAGAATTTGACTCCTTCTTCTGACCTCCACCAGCATTGCATGATATGGTGCATTACATACATGTAGGCAAAACACACATACACATAAAATAAAAACAATAAATACATTTTTAAGTCATAGGAATACAATTATACTAAATATCTCAAAACCCAATCCTGTATCATTCTGTACCAGAGACAAGGAGAATTTTGGACAAATAAGGACCTTCACTATAGATAAATATTCACAGCACAGCATTGTTATATTGTCTTTAATGCCTTCCAGCTGTCATCATACCTGCAAGTCTTAGCCCATCACCAGGAAGCTCTGTTTTATATAACTGAAGGTTTGTTCGTCAGACCTTGATGGGTCCTGATTTAGACAGCATGTCTCCTATCTCTTCATTTTATATAGTAGATGGCAAAATTTTGTGGAGTAAATTGGATTCTTAATGAGAATTCAGTCTGGTAAAATAAATACTGCAGAATATAGGTAACTCGAGGAAATAGCTAATCTATGGATTAAAATGTTATTTTAGTCACATTCCAATGTAGTTATTAAATTTAAGAAATCTATTTTAGGCAAATTATTTCCTTTAAAAGTGAAAACATTTCTATTAGCTTTGATTTTAAAATGGATGAGCCTATACACTTAGAAAATGGGCCAATGAGTTTTTTTTTTTTTAATTTAGTAGAGTTTAGTAGAAAATGATTTCAACTAGAAAATGCTCCCAAGTGCATGAAGGAAAAATGACTAAAATTCCTGGCCAGGGTGTAACTGGCAAAGAAAGTGAATGCTGCATGGCAGAGAGGAACATGCACAGCCCTGCTTCGGGCTCTCCCTCACCACATCCTTGGGCAAACCTGGGCTGTGGTACTGTAGGTATTGCCACCTTCCTGGCAGGAGCAAAATATTTAGAGACACTCATGCCCTGCCTTTGACCAGAAGATTATTGAGACAATGGTCCCCAAAGAACTAGGATTTCCCCAGAACTCTCATGCTGAGAGTGAAGCCTGGTGCCAGCCAGAAGAGGAATTTGTCTTCCAGGAAGAGATTTGATACCATTGTGACAATTTGTCAGACCACTTTACAGGTCAGATTGTGAAGTCTAGACAATGATGGGTCAGTAATGATGGGAACCACACTCTAGCCATGACTGCTTAGTTATGCATAACTCAGACCTCTGTTTAAATCTCATGTCAGGACCCCTGAAGATGGACTTAGAGAACATTGAACCTCTCTATTTGTTCTCAAAATAGCCACAATTAAAAAAAAAAAAAAAACTCCCTTTCTGCCTCTCACTATGATGATTTCTTTAATTTGCCTGAAAACAGTGACTGAGTCTAGCTTTTTTAAGGGACACCAAGACCTGTGTTCATATGATCTACTGATCTTTTTATATTCCCTTTAAACTTCTGCACATTTTAAAATGTTACCAGTAACTGAAGGCTGCTGGGAGGGGAACAGTCAGTCTCTTTCAAGGATGTGACTCTTGGTAGGTTAACCAGGCTACGGTGGATGGACCCATACTGAAGGGCACTTGGGGACACAAATTAGACTCTATAGGTTTTACTTTATATATAATAGTGTGCATTAAATTATGTGGGAGGCAGAAAAGGGAGGTGTGGGGGGAGATCAAATTACCTTCAAATTATAGTGTATGAAAATCACAATGATTCTATCAAAATTTTTTTTAAATGTTGTCAATACTCCACAATGTTAGCAGTGTGGCTTCCCATGAGGATAGTTCTACTTGATTTTTCTCTCACTGTATTTTGAAAGAGAGGTCCTTAGAGTTTAACTTTCTTCTTTTACATGCCATGAGAGCCATAAAATCCAACCGCTGAGGAAACACTGCTGTCCTCTCTGTGTAACAGGTATGACTTCCTCTGCATGGTGCAATCTCAGTTCCCCCGACCCCAGCTTTGGCATTTTTACCATGACGAAAACCTCGCAAAGGGGCTCAGGATATTATCTAACGAGGGCCAGGCGGTTTTTAAAAAAGCTTCTATGTAGCCAGATGTGGCGAATTCCTTTGACAATCCCAGCACTTGGGACGTTGAGGCAGGAAAAGGATCATGGGTTCAAAACCAGCCTGCACTCTCTAGCCAGTTCAGGGCAAGGAGAGTAACTTCGTACTGGGCAAGTTAGTGAGATCATATCACTAGCAATAAAAACAAAGTTGGTTTTCTCCCAGGCTGCAATGCTCTGGAAAGTTCTCAATCTATGGGTCACCCCTTTCCTCCTAACAGGCAGGTTGCTACATGCTTGTGTCAGGGTGGCGGAGGCAAGCCCCCCACCCCCTGGCACTGTACTTGGCTCTGCAGGGAGCTGATTTTCTCAGCCTGGCGGGTCTGCACCGGAAGCGGAAGCGATTGGCTTATCCAGGTCCCCTGAGCTTCTCGTGTCCTGGGTCACGCACCTCCTCCTGTGTAGTCTGCTGTCTGTCGCCCTCCATCAAGCTCCGCATCCTCTCCTTCTCCAGGGTACGGCGGACTTCTGTGGCTGCCAGTTTCGTTTTCAGATCGACGACCTGAGGGAATGGGTCAGACAGTTGCAGACTCTCACATATCTGAGACTTATTCTGGCCTGGAACAGAGACGCCCCGCATCCAGCAGGTCCCTCAAAGGAAAAGTTCTTCCAATGTAGAACAGCGTATTTGCGTTTTAAAAGGGGTTCTTGGGTTGGAGAGATAGCACAGCCATTAAAGGCTAAGGTTAACCAAAACATGAAAGGGGCTCTTGCTCCATAGGAAAAGTACAATTTACACTCAAATGGTATCCAGCTGTTCCCTCCTTTCTCCAAACCGTCCGCACTTGGGAGGGATGGAGGAGCCAGCGTACAGGCTGAGGGCCCCGATGTGACTCGCTATTCTGGGATGTGCCTTGCCTTTTCCTGACAAGACATCAGGCGATCAGGGAAGGAGCAGGTAGGATAATCTACAAGTGGCCTGCGCTCTGCTGCTCCCGTCCTGTCCTTGCTGAAAAGTTACATTACAGTGACAATGTCTCCCAAAGAACCTTAGTGGCCCGGTGCCTTCTCCAATTTGGGAACTGCTCCTGTTGTCAACACCTGGGTTCCCTGGCCACCGGGTGAAGCAGACAAAGCATTCTTGCTGAGATTACTGTCTCTAAAATATGGAGACACAAACTGTATGGATGCATACTGCAAGGTGGCCTGACCACTGCAGTGGGGACAGGAATCTTCCCCTTCTAAGTTTAACACTTCTGCATATCAAAATGAGGAAAAGAGCAGTGTGTTACTCACTGTGGTTGGGTTTCTTAATTCTGAATTATTTAAGGGAAGGTACTTCCTCTCATCTGTCTTTGTGAAAATGTAGTGCTTTAAAATAATGACTATAACCTATTAAAGGAAAATTTCTCCAAGAAGTTCCTTTCTTACAAAAGTGAAATCTTCTCACTGTTACCTCTATTTCCACTTTCACTGTTACCTTTGTTCTTTATTTTGAAAATAGCTGATTCTCCCCAATTAAAAAGTTAGAGACCTGCCTTGCATAACACTGACCCTGACTTCAAGTTTAAGCCCTGACCTGTGACTGCCAGTGACAACAGAGGCTAGGGCACTCCGGGAAGCTGAATGAACCATGGGAACTCTTGGAACTTAACTGCACTTAACTTAAGCTGTGCTCAAGGCGACTGACTGACACTGTTCACGAATCTTCAATAAGCCAGCTATGCACACAGCACTCTGCCTCTCTGTGGTTGAGTCACTGGACCTATCAGGACTAAAGGAGATCAGGAGGAACTTACCTTTCTCTCATATAACTCTTTCATGCTTCGGAAGTGCTGGTCCCATTGCTGATTAACTTCCAGGAGCTGAAATGGTTCAAAGTTGGTAGAATGAATTTCTACCCATTTGGAAATTTAAGAAACATGAAATCACTTTTTAAGGTTATTGAGATTTTGGAAGCCACAGATAAGACAGTGCTCCTTCTAGCAAGTTCTGATTGGACTGGGATGATTCTGAGGCAGGATAGAAAGCTATGAAAGGAGAGGAACCCCTCACACAGAGTCTGGTTGAAGCCTCTCAGCAGTTGAAAGTCAAGAATTCCAGCACATTTGCTGTACCTATCTTGAGACAAAATTGCTCTTATATAGAGATGTTCCAAATAAGAATGTTGAAATAACAATGAACCATGCTAAAGACCTGCATGTAAAAGGCCAGCTTCCCAAGCTGTAAGCCTACAGTTTTCTAGGAATCTTACAAGAACTTCCATTTACAATAGAAGATGTATATTAACCCCTTTGTGCAGACTTTATGCCCCATGGGTTTATTTCATCAAATTACAATCCTGTCCAAAGCACTCAAGAGCCACTCTATAACCTCACATCAAAAATAAGGGGGGAAATGTTTATTTGCAACTCTGAGTTTTAACTTGAGAGTCACCATAATGGTATCTAAGACTAACTGCTAGGACACTAATATCAAGTTTCTTTGGAAACACACCCACACTCTCAAATGTACCCTATTTTTTTCCCCTAAGAGCTCTTTCTATTAACCCCTTACTTAAATATCCATTAAGCTTTCTTGCTTCATACTGGCTCATCTCATAATTCCTTGTGGTGAGGTCAAGGATCTGGCTCAGCCTGAGTGCAAGTCCCTGCAGACCAAGGGAACTCATCAGGCTTCTGGAAGCAGTGCTGGACTGTGTCTCCTGCTGCACAGGGCTGGAAATTTAACTGGACACATATTCTGTCCTTTCACAACAGGTTCATGTATGAAAAATCATTGTCTTAGATATGTCTTGACAAGTCGGCTCAAAGGTTTAATAGAAACTTTTAATTTTTCTTAGTCATTTTAATTTTCATCTTTGTTTAATTCAACCAGAATCTGATAAATTTTGTACATATTTTTTTAAGAATTATCAATGTATGAATGTTCTTTTTCCATAGCTATCTGTATGGTTATTCTGGTAATTATAATGGATAGGTGTTACAACTTTTTCAAAGAATTCATCTTAAAGTCCAGACTCTGTTCATTGATAATCATTTGCATGCAATAACATGCATTAGGAGGCTACCATGCTCCAATACCTACTGGATAAATGAACAATATCATCTTTTAAAAGCATGGATTTTTAAGAATAACAGTCTTTGTCACAAGACAATATTTAGAAATATTTTAGACTGCAAACACTTTAAGTATGTTTAAACTTTACCAGCATAAGACAGACAAGAAGATGGTCATAATGTTCAAAAAAATTGCAAAACTTACCCCTAATTACAAACAAAATACCTAATCAACAGTGACAATTATTAGATAACTTATGGTAAAAACGCTTATGATTATTAAGCATAAGGTCACACAATATTACATAAAGATACTTGATCCTTTGCCAGTTAGGAATTAACATTCTTATACTATACTAACATTATTCTGTAACACTTTAGCAGTTTTCCAGAAGAGCACAGTACTGTATGCATTTTCAAAGAGGAATAGAAGGTGTCAAAAAAGAGAAAACAAAAGGTAAAATATACAGAATACACTAGAAAAGGAACCACGAAATTGATGACAAATGCAACAGTTCAAACTGTTTTACTTTCCACCTCCTGCTCTATCAAGAAGAGGAAAGAGGTTCTAACATTCATTAAACTCAGTAAATACAGTGTAATTAATAACATCTGTTATTCCCTAATAACATATTAGAAACGATCTGTTTTCTAAGACAATGGTTTTAACATATATACATTTGGATGCTCAACTCTGGAAGTCAGTGCACTTAAATCCACTGTGCTTAAAGCCCTTACGGCTGAGGTTTCATGGTGTGTCAATTTGTAAGGTCACAGGAGATAAGCCCACATGACCCAGCTGGCAAAATCATCAACATTTGGGAAACTAGGATTATAAACACCATGTTCATGGTTTTGCTAGTTTTGCATTTATCATAACACAAGCAATTATTTTAAAAAGGCCTTTTAAAATAGTGCAGTCCAGAGCCAGGTGTGGTGGCACACGCCTTTAATCCCAGCATCTGGGAGGCAGAGGCAGGAGGATCTCTGTGAGATAGAGGCCAGCCTGGCCTCCATAGAGAGTTCAGGACCAGCTGGGGCTACAGGGAAATCCTGTCTCAAAAAGACACACACACACACACACACACACACACACAGTTCAGCCCAGTATTGTAAAGACAAATATGCAATTTAATAACAGAAATAGATGCTAAAGGATACATTATTTTATTCTCAGCCTTAATTCATGGCTCCATGGCTGTGTGACTTTAACTAATATTTCTAAATTACCTCTTTTCTCTGTTTTTCCAAGCACCTTATCTTTTGTTCAAGAGAATCTGTCAAGTTCTTTCTTCTTGATTGAGCACACTTTAACTAAAAAAAAAAGATTGGGATTAGGCAGTCTATAAAATCAGCAGAAGAAATACTGTCCTTCATGAAGCCCATACAATTATCCAAATCCTGTGTTTAAAAAAAAAATCTTTGATTTGAGGGCTGAGGATATGTGGTTCTCTGGCAGAGCATACACTTAGCATTCACAAAGCCCCCAGACAGATTTCCCAGCACCACACACACACAAAAAGTAAGAAGTTCATCACAGTGACATGCTGAGATATCAGCTTGATACTCTATTTAATATTCATTTATTTTAATTAATTACCAAAACACTTGTCAATGAATAAGAACAACACACACAGCTAAAAGTCACTACACTGATTCTAAAAATCACAAATAAGGTAATTTCCCCTATGACCATTTCAGGAGTATGTTATAGAGGTGGATAAAGATTATGTAGCTTTATGCATTTTAACCAAAGTTTTAAGAAAAAAAAAGCCATTAGAGTATAAATTAGACCAATAACAAATTATTGGGATAATGAAAACTAATGACCTCTGTCTTCAGTTATATTTTCCCCGGGGATAGGGATCTCATTCAAAGAAAGGCTGACGTTCTAGAAGCTGCCTGCCATCTGGCTAAATAGACCACCAGCAAAACTCACTTGCAGCAAGGACTCTATTGTAACTCAATAGTCTACTTACCATCTCATCTGAGTCATCACGTAATACAATGAACTGGGTGATGAGGGGAGTCCTAAAATCTGTGTTGAGTTTCAGGCTCAATAGTTGCTCTGGGCCACAAAATTGCATAAAGCTATTCATAAACAATCAAGAAATATTTTCCGAACATGTTGGTCTTTGTCAGAAGTGGTCAGAGGAAGCAGCTGTTTTGCAATCATCATGGGATTTCAAGGACTTTTTTTTTTTATTAGAAATGATTTATAAGACCATTCTTCTAATTTACTTATGTCTCATGTTTTAGCATTTGATGATATTTTGCACCTGTATGGATGCTGTTCTTTGTTTTTTAAAGTTCTCTTAATTTAGTAATGTAATGAAGACCACATTTCAAAAGTGACAATCTTCCATGGGTCGATAAACTGAGAATGAGTATACGAGTTCTTTACATGAAAACCCAGGTGGCCAGTAGGCTTGGCCTTTTAACTGGACTTTCTCTTTTGGAGGATGACTTCTAAGAAACTGGACCCATTCCAGATTAGAACTGATAAAACACACAGCATCCTTGGTCTGGACAGTACTGTGAACAGACCAGCTCAGTGTGCCCTGAGCCTAGCAAGGCTGACATGCCATGAGGTTGATTTTAGACTATTGATTCTCTCCCCAGCAGCAATCAACATCACAGGTGAGCTGGAAGGCAGAGTGCACCTGAGCACTAGACCAGTCCTGGGGAGCCATGATTCCTGCTAGCGGTCAGCCTCCTCCCATCTGGCATCATGCTTGCAAATGTGAACTTTGGGTCATCAAAAATCTCCTATTTATGATGTAGTACAAAATCCATGAAAAGCAAATATCTGTGCCTGGTCCTGCCTCTGCTGACCCAGAAGTAGGGCAAGAAGACCATGTTCTTTCCCTGTACCCCTAGCTCACAAATAATTTTCTCTGGAAAAAAATTATAAAACATAGTGATCCTTGATTTTTATTTTATAAATAACATTCTGATAGTAAATCTTTAAGAAAATCTATTTGTAACTATAGAAGTATTAACTTATGAAATTCAGAAATAATAATTATGAGAGAATAGAAATCAAAACAGAGGAAGAATTTGTAAGAGATTTCATGAGATTAATCAACATTTGACCATGGTTTGTATGTCTGAAGTATATGCTAGCATAGAACAAATTCAACTGAATACAAAGGTATTCATATCTGAGGTGAGTTTTCATGTGACTTTTCATGCTGTGGCACTTATACATGCACAGGGGTGTGGGAGTGCGTGAACACATACAGACACACACACATTCAAAATAAATTAATAAAAATGTAACAAAAGTTAAGAAAGCATATTAATTCATTGAAGTAGGAAACATTATTGTAGGAATTGAGCAAAAATTATGATGTTAATTGAGCATACAAATACATCCTTTATTGCTATATCTTTTATTTCTAACCACATAATTATTCTTTTTATACTTTATATTAAACCAAACTCTTCTAAATAAGAAGAAAATATGGAGTATAGAGCACTGGGGAGCTGAAAGGATTCTGACAGATTTGATCCTGTCACCTTGCAAGAGAAGCACAGTCCAGTGAGCACAAAGCAATGGAGATTTTCTATGTCAAGTAATATTGCTTAAAAACACAGGGCAGATCTTGGTCAAAGAAGGCAGACCAACTGCTGCTCTTTTTGATCATCACACATTCGCCTTTATGATAGCAGTGTGGATATGACCCGCCTTCCCCAGACGCCGGCTCTTACCTCTGCATTCTCTGCATGAGCTTCGGCAGTGCTCATTTCAGATGTGCCTTGGGAAGACATGGAAGCTGTTTTTCCAGAAGTCTTGTAAAGCAGAAGAAAAAGAGAGAGGGAAAAAAATTACTTTTAGGATGAGAATAAAGATTCAAAATTTGGAAAACAGAGCCACTGTCAACTCATGGTAAAAACAAGTCCCCATTAACATTGAGCCATGACTGTGGATGCTAATCACACAGAATAAGGTCACAAGAAGAGTGATTTTAACTTTTATTGGCTTCCATGTACCAGGGATTTCCCAGGATGTCTCAAGTAGACAGGCAGTGACTAAGATGCAGGGCAGATTAGCCTTGCTATGATATGTAAATCGCCATTCTTCTTTACTGGCAGTTTCTCCCACTGGAGGAGGAAGTTACTACCACAGAAGGCCTGGGCAAACCTGTCCTTTCCTCAGCAGCCTAACTACTACAAATCCACTGTAGTTCCCAGAGCAATTAGGTAACTGTTGATTTTTTTTGATGGTTCGATTTCTTGTTTCCCTACAGGCATGATTTTCTGGCAATGTCTTCTAGGTATGAGTTAAGCTGTACAGAACAGAATGAGTCACATGAAATTCTGTGAGTGCTACCGATTCCTCTGGACTGAAGGGGAGAATAATTCATTACAAGATCAAATGAGGGGCTGTAGAGATGGCTCAGCGGTTAAGAACACTGGCTGTTCTTGCAGAAGACCCAGATTCTAATCCCAGCACCCACATGGCAGCTAACAACTGTCTGTAACTCCAGTTCCAGGGGATCCGACAGCCTCTTCTGTCCTCCACGAGCATTGCATGACATGGGTGCACTTACCTACATGCAGGCAATACATGCATACATATAAAATAAAAATAATAAAATATTTTTAAAAACAAACAAGATCAAATGGGCACCACTTGCAAAACAAATGTCCTGATTTGGCAGGAAGGTTAAGTTTGGTTCTCCTGTTTAATTAAGACCATCATTTTCATACGCCAAGTCTAGCTTTCTCAGCACAACATGTGGTTAAATCACTAAACTTTTTTTTGCTTGCGCATTATAGCCTTAATTTGTGGGCTCCTGTCATGGTACAGGCTCTTAATCTAATGGTACACTAGATAGGTACTGTAGGAGAAAGCATGGAGAGGACAGATATTTGGGACTGTGATTTCTGGACTTGGGGGGTAGAAAGCAAAAGAAGAGCCAAGGAATAGAAACAAGGAAAAAATGAGTTCCTGAAAGGGAAAAAGAATTTACTTAGGTTCAGTCATTTGACCAGAGTCTTTTATAGAAATACCCCACATAGAGGTAAGATAAAGCCTGAAACCCTGGAAAGGCAACATTTTCAAAAGGAAGTGAATGAGTGTCCAGGGTCCTGCCTGCCCTCCTTTTCTAACTGTCTCTCACCTTCTGTTCATTATGCTGAATTACTTCCACATCCTGAAATGAATCATGCTGTCCTCACCCTCCTGCCCTGGAATGCATAGCCCTTTTTAGGCTATCCCATGAATCTGGTGAAATCTAGCCAATAGCTTTCCAGCCCTCCAATTCTATCCTATTTCCCTCTACCCAGCCAGGGAGCACTTCACCAAGCACTGCAATGGTGTATTTCTGTGTTCCTGTATTCATCTCTGTATCCAGAGTACCCTGGCACAGAGTAGATGTCCAACCCACTTATAGAATTAATAAATTAGTATCTATCTATGAGAAATAATAGTCATCTATGCTATACACCAGACTAGTGGATTTTAGCTGTGTCTGTGTCTGTTTCCTTGGTTTGTTTTGAAGACATGCGCAAGTGAAAGAGAGTGATGCTGCCTTAAGGCAAATCCAAAGTACAGGTGGAAATCAGATTGTTCATTCAGAGTTCTAGAAGAAAAAGTTATGATACACATGTTCTCTCACTTTAGGGGATAGACACAGAGGCTTCCTAACAATCAACACTTCATCTACACTAAGATCTGTTCATCAAAAAAAAAAAAAAGAAAGAAAAACCTTTAATGTAAAAATAATTTTTTTCCAAAATACACACTCATACCCTTACTCACCCTCCTACACCGCACACCCACAGGAGAAGGAACGGACAGTTCAAAGTTCTTCAGATTTGGATTTGTATTAGGTTGTAATAATGTAGTACAATTTCTGACAATCACCTAGTGAAATGATTTGAAGAAAGATTTTCTTTCCAGGAAATATTATCCTTGATGTTTCTGTCTCCTGGGTCTTCCCTGTTACCGTGTCCTGGTGCATACACCTTGCTAGGTGTGATAGTGTCTCTCGGGTAGAAATCCTATAACTTTGTAATCCTCTCCACAATTCCCTTTTCTCTTCTGCTATAGACAATAATAGCAAACAGATTTTCTATGAGTTCTGAGAGCTCTACATATGAATAAACAACTTTTCCAGGGGGCTAAAAGTTTGGCAAGAAAAATGGAGCTTCCAGTGGGCCAGCCCAGGAATAAACTGAGCACCTTCTGATCTGCTGGTTGTTTGCCTCGGCTCCACCCCTCTCCCAGGTGTGCATATTTTAAAAAATATTTTATTTATTATTTTCATTTTATGTGTATTAGTAGTGTAGTGCCTGCATGTACAGAAGTGCACACATGTCATGCAATGCCCAGGGAGGTCAGAAGAGGTCATCAGAGTCCCTTGAACTGGAGTTAGGACGGTTGTTATCTGTCATGTGGGTGCTAGGAATCGAAACCAGGTCTTCTGCAAGAGCAGCCACTCCCTTAATCACTGAGCCATCTCTCCAGTCCCCACGGTGTGAATATTTTAGGAGTCTGACTTCTAGTCAACTTTGGTTTCAGAAGTCTTGCTAGTCTTCCAAAGAAACAAAAGTGTCATTTTATGTTTCCAAGGCTATTTTAAAGGTCCCTCATTTGTGAAATAGATAAAATATTACATAATGTAGAAGAAAAATAAACCTAAGGAATTCCCAATCACTGGCCTTAACTATTATTTGTGTTGACAGTAATTCTCTCAAAATTAGTCCAAGAAGAAAGCATCACATGCCTGCCAGTGTATGGAGACTTTCTTAGGCAGAGAAAAGAAACAGACTTCTTTTTAACATCTCTGGTTTCTATGTGCATGGATCTTCCGGGTAGGGGAGAAGACCTGGAATTGACAAGTTCTAGCTCTAGTGTTAGATAATCTGGCTTTATTCTTCAGCTCGTCACTCATGACTGCGACTTTGGGTAAGATACCTCAGTCGTCTAGGACTCAGCTTCAACATACACCATAGGATAGTGGTGATACTTTTTCCTACAGTAGCTATCTATGACCATGTAAGAAAAAGCTGGGCTAATACTCACAAGTTCTTCTTTGATGTAGGACAATCAGTCGAATTACATGGCAAAAGGAAAGGGCTGTCCAGAATTTGTACATCACTCACTGTGCACTGGGAAGTGAGTGGCTTCCAAAGGAAATGAAACAAAGGTTCCTGCTTACAATGAAACTTATACACACACATACACATACACACGCTTAGGTGTTGACAAGCATGCGTACGTGTACTCATGTACTTATGCACATATGTGGGTGCAGTGTTGTATATGTGCACATATGGAAAACTGGATGGCAAATGAAAGCCAGAAAACAAGTCCTAATGAAAGTAAAACCAATGACAGTCAGAACAGAGAGCTCATTCTCCAGCTTTAGTAAATACGGAAGGACTTCAAGTGTCCTCTAGGCCTTGAAGAGTAGATAGGATTTGATGGATGGTGAAAACTGAGATATAGAAATTACAGTAAAGATAACTTAATGAACATTAAAGGGATGAACAGCCTATGTACGGAGGGTCAAACAAGCTCATTTTAACTGGCACTTGTCTGGCATATAAGTTGGATGAATGAAATTATGTAAAGCTTTAAATTTTAGGTCAACACTTTTGACCTCATAGATCATAGGAAACTACTAAAGACCCTTGAACAAAGAAGTTCTGTGATCAAAGTTGCTTTCTAATAAAAAATAAGCCTGGAGATGCACATTATGTATTAAGGGAGACAGACAGTGACAACCCAAGTAATAGATATTAATAAAAATATTTAAAATATTTAACAGCTTGTGGCAATCAAAATATTTAACAACCAGTTGATTTAGCACACTGGCTCTGGCATCTCATGTGAATAGCTGACTTGTCATCTCTTTAGGGATGCTTCAGAGTCACCTCTGTCTCCAAGTGTCTAAAACTTATTTCCTGACTTCCCTATAAAACCCATTTCCCCATCGCAATTACTGAATATTTTCCAGACCAAAACTCTTGAAATCACCTTTAATTCTTCTTTGTATTCCAGTGTCTGTATTCAATTTCTATGACTACTTTATAGACTGTTTGACCCCCAAAACAATAGCATCCCTTTGCCACAAAGGCCTAGAGAATTCCCAATTCAGTGACTAAGTGGAGCTGAACTAAACATGCCTCTTAATGATTTACTCAGAATGAGGCATAAACATTTGCTTCCTGGTTTTATTCACAAGAATACTTTAGGAGTATGTGCGGCAGTGGCCAATCTCTGGCTCTTTGTTTTCTATGACTCGCCAGTGATGTGGCCTTGTCTAAGATGCTGTGTGTCTGTGGACTGAGGGCAAGCCATCATCACTTCTGTGCCAGATGCTCCCATAACCTAAGGGCTGTTCTGCATCTCTCCTGACTCCCTCATTATCAGCAGGGCGTTTTAATGTCACTCATGTTCCTCTGCACAGGACCTCTCAGTGGTATCCCATCTGACTTAGAGTGAAAGCAGAACTCTTTTTTTGTGTTTTATTGCAATTTTTTAGGTTAATATATAAAATAACTTGTTTTGTACATGTCAGTTCTTCTACTTTGTCCTTATTCAATGCTTTCTCCCACTATTCTCCTTCACTTCCGTTCCTCCCACTTGCTGGTCCCTTTTCTCCTCCCCAAATTGTCCCCCTTCTGCTTTCGTGTCACATATATTCCATCACCCTCTCTTGTTCCTCCCCTCCTCCATCTCTTAATATCTCATCTTCCTTTTTGTGGTTCTTATTATGGTTTCATGACCCTCCCTTCACACACACACAGACACACAGACACACACACACACACACACACACACACACACACACACACACACTCAGATCCAGCCTTTGAGAGAAATCATGCTGTACTTTTCTTTCTGAGTCTGGCTAATTTTCACATGATTTCTAGGTCTATTCATCTTCCCTTAAATACCATGATTTCATTTTTCTTTATGGCTACCTAAAATTCTATTGTGTATGTACCAAATTTTCTTTATCTTTATATCTGTTGATGGACATTTAGGCTGGTTTCATTTCTTGG